TGCATCAGGCCCGCCATGATGTCATACTTGGTTCTGTCAGGACTGTTATTTTCTTACTCTGTTTGCCTAGAAACTGGTTGTTGTATTTTCTTATTTCCAACTGCATGCTACAATTTGATTTGTGTTAATGTTGTAATATACAGATATTATACAGGTTTAATTGTTTTTGGTTTGTTCTGTTAGTGTTTGGAGCTTTCCTCCTTGTGCTGAAAGTTTTGAAATGGCAGTGTAATCAGATGGGGTATGAAATGCAGAAGAGGGCCTAAGCCCAGCTTAGTGCTGTCATAGAACCTACAGTGTATCTGGTTTAATGGGTTAAAAAAAACAGCAGTTTGTCTTCATAGTTGCTCTCATATCCCCTTTATTAAGTTAAACATAAACTGTCAGTTAGATGACAAACACTTAACCTTTTTCAGGGTCTGTTTGAGGGCTGAAACAATCAGATTAATCGCAATTTATTGATTATTGCAATAATCAACTAATTTAGTAAACGATTAATCGTTATCTGGAGTAGATACTGTAAAATATGCCTTTAGCTAACAAGACGACCCACTTAGAACAGTAATTATATCAAAATAGTTAAAAAATGTATAAACATTTTGCATTTAAAATAAAATTATTTTTTCTTCTGTCAATATGTCCTATCCAGAACTCCTCAAGTTGAAAAGTTTTTGTTTCACCTGGTTCAGTTTTGTAAAACAACTTAAAGGAACCTTTTACCATCAGATTATTAATTGAATAATTGAAAAAATAATAGACAGATTAATTTATTTGCAAAATAGTCATTTTTTTAATATATTTTTTTTATATTCATTATTAAAACCTCTCCAATCTTGTCCATCTTCTAGTGCCCTTCATCCGCCTTGAGGCTCCCATGAACAACATCACCACATCTCTGGGTCAAACAGCCGAGCTTTTTTGCCGGGTGTCCGGGAACCCGACGCCTACGGTGCGCTGGCTGAAGAATGATGCCCCAGTTGTGCAGGAGCCAAGGCGGGTCTCCTACCGAACCACGCAGTACGGATCCCGCCTGCGTATCCGCGACCTGGACACTACAGACACAGGCTACTTCCAGTGCGTCGCCAGCAACGATCATGGCTCCGTTTCCACAACTGGGGTGCTGTTTGTCAAATTTGGTGAGTGATAGTCTGTTGAGGGATTTAAAAAAAAAAAACTCAATAGCACGGAAATACAGTGTTACAATGACAGGCCCTTTCCTCTGCTCATCCTTTCCAAAAACATCACAGCGACACTTATCCCATCTGATTCCTCTCTTAGTTGGCTGCTAGCACAGAGAAAATCTGGAAGCCATCTTGTTTATCCTGTTACAAAAATCCCCTCTCTCTTTTTCCAGATCCACTCCCCACACCTCTGTCAGGAAGACCAACGTAAGTAGTCTTTTCTTAATGCATTTTCTTTCCATCTGCTTGTTTATGCTGCATGAACAACAGGGAATGTATGAATTTTCTACAGATGGCAAATTATACTACATCAGTTTCACAGTTCGTATTATTGTAAATAATTACTACAAGATTCATGAAGTTATGAAAAAAATCATATTTTCTACTATAGTTTCTACCAGAACCATATTTATGGATTTTTTAACAACCAAAACGTGTCATAAAGTTGTCAGATTTTCTTCCACTACTTAAACAAAAAAAATCAAAGATGAAATCTAGACCCTGTGTAGCAGTACTCTAGGTAATGACTGAATTTAATTACCAATTTAGTTGACAAATTGTACTCTTTTTTTTTTTCTTTTTTTTTTTTTCCCGATTAATAGTTTCAGACATAGGCTGATGTTTGTTGTTAAGAAATAGACTAATTGTACTTTGTACTAGAAACTTTACAGTTGCAGGGTAGATTAGTTCATTTCTATTTCACACAATTTTGCCCTAAGTGAAAACAGCAAAATAAATCCTCACACTGAACTGAAAGGGATCTTAAGCCTGTTTTGTTTTTTTCTATTTTAAGTGTAAATTCTGTTATAATTGTGGCTTATACAATAGATAGTAGAAAAACAAAAACAAATCCCTTTTCCATGAAACTAGTAAATGATTTTTGACATAAAAATTTAATGCTGAAGCCATTTTGCTCTTCACATTCATGGACACTCTGATTGGCTGTTTAGAGCACTTTATCCAAACTTGTCAAGCTTGCTAACAAAAAGGTTAGGTGGAAGTGTAAACCTGTAAGTAAAAAAAAAACCTAGTTGTTAAATAAGGTCTGGCGGGTTGTGACACATTCAAAGAGTAATGGAAATTATGAATTATTTTAAAATACGACAATAAACAAAGAAAAGAGGTGTAACATTAAATACATTTCATAAGTAAAATCTATTTGATTTAAATGATAAAAAAAAAAAAGCCAGACCACATCTGGACTTCAAAGAAAACAATGCAATTTTACCATCAGCTCTACATTTTACTAGAGGTCAGTGGGACGTCCCCTGCACGGTCTGATGGGATTCTTATTTCCTGATTCTGTGGATGAGGTTGATTTCTGGTGCATCTTGCAGCCATTTGTTGAGTAAAACTTAAAGTGTTTTGTTTGTTTTTTATTGTTCACCTCTTAGCTCACATGGTTTGAATCTAAATGGCGACTGTTTACTATTAGCTGAGGTTGAAACGTGAATCAAGTTGACCAACCGATACAAAAAGGTCTGTGGACCAGATGGACGACAGAAACTGGTACAAAAACTTAATCAGAATCTTCTCACCAGAGACTTTATGGATAGGTAAGATCAGTGGAACCTGAACTAAAATATTCCACAAATATTCAATGTTGTTTAAGGAAAATCTAACAAAGGTTTCAGTTTGAAACTCTCACTAAAATGGTTGAAATGCATGGTATTCAAAATGCCCCACATCTGTCTGTATGGTTTGGCTTTTATTGCTTTTAATAGTAACCCAATTAGCTGCCAGCCACAGCGCTGATTGCTCAACATGAATGGAACATAAGGGCGGTCTTCAGGGTGGCAAATGAAAGCAAACAGAGAAGATTTCTGGGCATAGAGACGCTGTTGTCTGCAGGAAAATTCACTTTGAGTTTGGCTGTTTTTTTGCGTTAGTTTTGACATTTCCTCGGCCTTATTGAATAAAGCACCATGAACTCTGGTTGTTGATTTGATTCTGAGAGGATCAAAGGACACAGCCTGGAAGATTTTCCCCAGTGACATTATGCCAAGGCTCGCTGCCATGTTCAGAGCAGCTTTCTGCTGATCGCAACTGCCAGCCCTAATTGGATATCGCACACTTACTAAATCAACCCCTGTGGCTGAGGTAAATGAGATAACCGTCATCTACACGCTCACACTAAAACAAGGGTCTTCCCTATGAGTGGTTCAGTCTTTACTTTTTTAACCTGTTTTTAATTTTTCTGCAATGACGTCTTTTTTTATTAAGCAGTAGGAGAGATGTTTTTCTTTTCATGGAGACCAAATAAACCGAAGTGAAAACTTGAAAGAGGTAAAACATGTTCATGTTTCCATGGTTTTCTCCCTGAATTTTTTGTTTTGTTTTTTAGACCCGCAGGAATTTACAGACACCTTTCTTTAACTCCCAATCAATGCATAAACTTATATGACCTATTTATCTGTTGCTGTGTACAGATATTGGTCTTTTTTTCTAGCTAGGTTTTAAAGCTTTATGCATTTGATTTAAAAAAATCTTCCTGCCTATATGTAACACTTGGTCTTCTGGTGGTGAAATATCTGTTTTACCTCCATTGCCTTCTTCCTGCCTCTGCTGCAAAGGAGCTGAGATGATCACTCAGGGACGTCAAAGAAAATTAACTTTTAATAGTATTTTAACAGTATTTGAACAGAACCATTACTATATGCCATTTTACCCCAAAAATAAAAGTAGGTTAACATTTACTGCAATATTTTCTTTAGGCCTGGACATGTTTAAACCTGTCGCAGTAGAGCAAAGACCATTGTGAGCTTGTTAGTCATTACAGTCATTACTTGATTTAAACAGACAGCGGCCTGTTTGGACGGCGGCAGTACAACGGCGATATTGTGCTGATTGTCGCTGCTGCTCATCGTTAGTGTCACGCCCAACTTATTAGCCGTGGAGTCAAGGTGGCAGCCGTGACTGAGATGAGGTCAGCTAATGATGACAAGGGATGACCTGTGCCCGCTTATTAATACCGCAGCTGTTCAAGCATCAAATCTCTCAACATCTGGAGCAGAAGCTTGCAGATGAACAGATTTGACTTTCACTATTCCTTTGCCTTCTTCCACACAGGTACACACAGTGACTAACATTTTCCTGGTTTATACTATCAACAAATATTCTTTACAAATTTTGGAGGGGGGTGGAGTTCCCACCACCCACTGTGTTAGACCTTAGCACAAGGCGAACTTCAGCTCTAGTGTGTTGTCTTTGCCATGATCCGTGCTCTGATTTCCATCCTCTCCACACTTGGCTAAAGTATATACTCTGTGGTGAGCAGAACATACAGTTGTGTTTGTTGGGGTGTTTGTATCTAACCTGAAGCTTGGGTTTTCAAGGTTAGCCACAGGCAAACTGACAGCCCAGAGGTTGGAGCTCAAACTCCAGGCAGCCTGTGTGCAGAAAGGCTTCCATAGAGTCAAGGAGTGAATCTAATTAAAGCAGATCTTAGTTACAGGAATAACAAGGGATCTTCATAGCCTGTGTTGTGGCTCTGAATAGGTTTAGCATTAAGATAATAGTACAGAAGATTATTTGTATTGTCAGTCACATTTCTATCCATTTCCGACACTTCTATTATCCACCCATCTCATCCTGCAATAGGTTTTAATCTTAAAGACTATCTATTGTACAAAAACTTTGCATGAATTCTGTGTGAATTTGTTATTTTGAAATTAAACCCTGAAATTAGGATTTTTTGGATGTAAGGAAATTAATCAGATGATATCTTGATTAAAAATAACACTGTATAAAATAAGAATGTAATAGAATATCGACAGTTGTAATTACATAGCATTTATTGCTACTCAAAACATACACTTAAGCAAAGAAGAAGAAAATATATTAAAAACCTTAAAATATTTGGGTTAATTTAAAACCAAATATATTGGGCAGAAAATGATGCCTTGTAGCTGTTGTGCGTAAAGAAAATTTAACAAGCTACTTATTCTCCATCAATCTACATATTTTTCATGATTGGAAATATTTCTGAAGCCTTCTTTAAGCCAGCTTAACGCGTGATGGAGGGTCAGGGCCGTGATGCTGTGCTTCGTGCTACGATGCTCTGGTAAAGAAGCTGCATGCCCTAAATGTTGTGTTCTTGACATTTAGGGACCTCTTTCGCATAATGTTTATTTGACTCTATATTGTACCAAATCATATTTAGATATAGACAATTTTTTGACTACCTACTCTAAGTAAACAAGATGGATTCTTTTGGGGGTTTTTTTTAAATAGTGTAGAGACCTTGAAAGAGACTGCATTTGTTTTTTTCAATATGCATGTCTGTGTTTTTCTTAGTTAGTAATGCAGAGGTTGAAGGGTTAGGAGCAGGTACCTAAACCAAAACAAGCCAAATAATTGGATATCACAGGCATGTTGCCGTGAGAGATCTATGGATTTCCATCGTTTCGCCACTTCTTATTGTTCTGTGATTCGAAAAAGGGCAAACTTTGATGACTTCAAAGGCAAAGCATTCCAGTGAGGTCAAGCAACAAAAACAAGTGAGTGGATGTGGTCACAAAGAGTTCTGGAATTATGTTGATTAAATTGTTCAAATAGATGACATTTCCAGATTTAGTTTTGCTCTTTTACTTTAATGGATTCCGTAATGATAAAAACCTGAACAAACAAAATACAAGCAGTCAAAAAGCAGAAGACTTTACCTAACCTAAAAATCTAGTGACTAATGACATTTCCGTACAGATCTGTTTTGTTCATAAACCTGCTGTGATCGATTTCCCATTCTAAAGGGAGTAGCAGCAGGGAGCAGATAGTTTTTTAACTGCTTTTCTCAGCACCTGACCAGAACACGTTCTGGTAATTTAGAATCAGTACTTGTAGAGAACCACACCTCCTCCTCTGATTTTACGATATTTTGCCCTTTTATCAATTTGTCACACTGACCGATTATTAACAAATACGCATTCAATGGAAAGAAATTGCAATTTTTAAACTCTTTACAATCAAAAATCATTGCAACACCTCCTGAAGCAATACTTAGTTGAAGCACGTTTTTGTCATGTTCTTGTTTCTGTTGTGCTTTACTTTACTCCATGTTTCCTAGTTTTATTGGTTTAATTCCTGTTTTGTTGTAATTTCTAGATTTATGTTAGTTCTATTGTTTTTCTGTTGTCCTCTGTTGCCCTCTTGTGTGTGTGTGTGTTCCTTTCCCCTTGGCTCCCTCGTTAACTCCTCTCACACCTGCTCCT